ATATGGGACAATAATAAAGAAACATCCAAAAATGAAAAAATGGGACAATTATAGGGGGACGAGGGAGTACTCCGTAGTAGTTCCATAACTGTGTTGAATTATTGATGGAATACCAGATCTTTTATGAATGAATAAGTCTATGGTATACATAATCTCTATATTCTGTATATGCCATGTTCGATAAAATGCCTAAATGATCTTTCTTTGTTTTTTAAATAGCATTGTAGAAACTAACCTAAAAGTTCTACCATCGGATTTGATGGAGTCCCTTTTTTTCAGTTTCATTATTTAATTTATTACTTGATGTTCACTTTTCTGAGTTTTCTCAATAAAATGGATTTATTGGTTATCTCATCAGAATAGTAAAATGCACTTCAATATTCTTCTGTTGGTGTTTTCTCAAATGTGATAGACTATTAGGGGAATAAACCAAAAGAACACATTTAGACTAAAACACTGCATTTTATTTATTTTAATTTTCTTCTTTTCCCCATCTTTCTATAAACCTGCCAGTAGTGTTTTAAGGCAGAAAATTGGATTTTGAGGTGCAAATTAATGGTGAGCAAATAAACTTAATTTCACTTTCATCACATTTTACATGTTTGATAAATGATTTTTATTCATGAAATAGAACATGAAACCTGCATGTGGTTAACTCCCAATTGAGAATGCCCTTCAAAGGTTTTTAATGAAGCATTCAACTCTTTAAAAATAATGGATCTACGTTTTTCTTCCTTACTCAATATTCACTGTATTTTACTGATTAATATTAATATATAATATTACTATATAATACTAATAAATTTTTAAAAAATTGAGGCCCATTTATTGGGGCTCCTGTTTTGTAGAACCAGTTTAGTTAAAAACTCCTTTGATTTTAGGTTCAGTCTGATCCGTGGACCAATGCTCACCCTTAATTATCTCTATATACTAATACACTCGATAACAAAAATCCCATATGGATTAGTAGCAAACTAAAAAGATGGATGTAAATTCACTTATTCACCTAGTACGTATAAATGTTGTCTTTGTAATTGAAACTAAAAAGATAAATGTTGTTTGAGAAGTTGAAGGTGTGGATTGGATGGTAATGGGTACGGTAGTTATGGTTGTTGGTAGGGTTAAGGTAGTGGTACAAGGTAGGGTCGAAGTTGAGGTAGGGTTAAGGCAGTGGTGGTAAACGGAAGTGGGGTGTGATCTTTGTTCCGGTACAACTGTTGGGTCTACGGGTCTTAGTTGTTGAAGAAGAGAGAGTTTTTTACACAAACGTTTTTTGCTCTCTTTCATCTGCTTAAATGCTGGTTTCTCTTTGGTCATTTGGTGTGATCTAACGTGTTCATGAACACATCTTTCCTTCTCCAACAATAGCTGCAATCGGAACCAAGAATTGCTTTTATTGGCGCCTCCAGCCTTCTTGGGATGTCATGTGCAGCTGCAAGGCGTCTTGTCCTGCAGAACTGTTCAGATTTCCGAATAGACCCTTACTCTTGCATTAAACTCCTTGAAGTCTGTACCGTGTCAAAGTCTCTTGTACAAGGCAAAGCCATTCACCAATACATCCTTAAGCACGGCTATTCTTTCACTAACAACTCCATCCTTCTAGACAAGCTCACCCGTTTCTATATCTCATGCCGCAGCCTTGAACTTGCTCGGCGGGTTTTTAATTCAATTCCTTGCCCCGACAGGAGAATTAAATCCATCTTATGGAACCAAGTGATTAGAGCATATGCTTGGGATGGGCCCTTTGAGAAAGCCATTGATATGTACTACGAAATGAAGAATTACGGGGTCAGGCCAACTAAATACACTTACACTTTTGTTTTAAAGGCTTGCTCTGCCCTTCAAGATTTGGAGAACGGGATGAGGGTTCACGAAGATGTGGAAAGGCTCGGGCTTGGTAATGATGTTTATGTCTGCACTGCTTTGGTTGATTTTTTCGTGAAGTGTGGGTGTTTGGTGGATGCAAGAGAGGTGTTTGATGGAATGACTGAAAGAGATGCTGTGGCATGGAATGCATTGATTGCTGGGTGTTCTTCTCATGGCTTATATGAGAATGTGGTGAGTTTGGTCATTGAGATGCAGAACACTGGGTTGCATACCAATTCTTCAACTATGGTAGCCATGCTGCCGTCAATCGGGGAGGCAAACAAGTTGAGAGAAGGGAAGAGTGTTCATGGGCATTGCTTGCGAAGGGATTTTGTTGGTTGCTTAGTCCTTGATACTGGGATACTGGATGTTTATGGGAAATGTAAGCAGTTGGATTACGCATGGAGGATCTTTAGTGCAATGAGTTCCAAGAATGACATCACCTGGAGTGCTATGATTGGGGCATGCATAACATGTGATTCCCCACTAATGGGGCTGGAACTGTTTGAGAAGATGAGGATGGAACAAAACTTCAACCTTTCCTCTGCCATGCTTGCAACAGTAATCCGAGCTTGTGCACAGCTAATTGACCTGAGGAGAGGGGAACGCATACATGGTCAAACCATTAAGATGGGATCTCTTTTGGATCTAACGATCAGCAACACACTTCTCTCGTTTTATGCGAAGTGTGGGAGAATAGATGAAGCCATGCTGTTACTTGAGGAGATGGGTATAACTGACTCGGTCTCCTATAGTGCTTTAATTTCAGGGTCAGTCCAGAATGGTAATGCAGAAGAAGCACTATATGTGTTTAAGGAAATGAGGCGTTCTCATGTTGAACCAGATCACTCAACCATGATGGGATTTTTCCCAGCATGTTCACAGTTAGCTGCTCTGGAACACGGAGTTTGTGGCCATGGTTACTCCATCATCAAAGGATTTGTAACAGATGTATCAGTCTGTAATTCTCTGATTGACATGTACGCAAAGTGTGGCAGGGTTGGAACAGCTAGGCTTGTTTTTGATAGGATGTGTGCAAGAGATGTGGTCTCTTGGAACACGATGGTTTCTGGTTATGGAATTCATGGTCGCGGAAGAGAAGCAATTTCAATTTTCAATGATATGTTGACTGAAGGCCAAAAACCAGATGAGATAACTTTCATCAGCCTCTTATATTCTTGCAGCCACTCAGGTCTTGTCACTGAAGGGAAACACTGGTTTCATACCATGTGTCAAGAATTCAAGATTGTTCCGCAGATGGACCATTATCTATGTATGGTGGATCTTCTCGGGCGGGCCGATCTTTTGGATGAGGCCTACCATTTAATCCAATCAATGCTGTTTCAGCCAGATGTCCAAATATGGAGTGCCTTGCTTGCTGCTTGTAGAACTCATAGAAATATTGAACTTGCAGAAGAAGTTTCAAATAAGATTCGTAGTCTGGGGCCTCAAAGTCCAGGTGATTTTGTTCTTTTATCGAATTTATATAGTACTGCTAACAGATGGGATGATGCTGCTAATATAAGAATTGTACAGAAGGGTTTGGGCTTTAAGAAGAGCCCAGGGTGTAGTTGGGTTGAAGTAAACGGGAATGTCCATGGATTCCTTGGTGGTGATCAATCTCACCCACAGTTGTTCAAAATCAAAGAGAAACTAACGGAACTTTCTTTAGAGATGAAGATGTTGGGTTATCATTCAGAATTTGATTATGTGTACCAAGATGTTGAAGGGGAGGAAAAAGAAGATATTCTTCTTCATCACAGTGAGAAGATGGCTGTAGCTTTTGCCTTGATTTGTTTTGTTAATCCTGGAAAGCCCATTCTTGTTACTAAGAATTTGCGGGTATGTGTTGATTGCCACACTGCACTGAAATATATATCCATCATCACAAAGAGAGAAATAACAGTGAGAGATGCAAGCCGGTTTCATCATTTCAGAGATGGAGATTGCAGCTGTGATGACTTCTGGTGAAACGAATAACCTGGGAGTGATGTTTAAGAAATTTCTGGTACAAAGGTATGTATATTACTTTTGAACCCAACAAAAATGTGATAACTGCTTAATAATTCAGCTTGGCGTTTGCACTATTGTATCACATGTTTTGTAGACTTCGTTCTTCCTTTCAACCCATTACTAGAGCTACATATTTTCCACTACATTACCATGACTACTATTTTGATGGCTTCTTTTATGTATACTTCGTATATATTAGTATTCTACTGCTATTATTGTTAAAGTAATTGCCCTGAATAGGAGTAAATTAAATGTGGAATTTTGTAATAGGAGCACTATGCTTTTATTCCATAAATAAGATTAATTATTGTCAATTTTTAAAAATACAGTCAATTATGCCAGTAATACAGCCATATTAATATTAAAACCTGGTAATGTCAAAATATGATGTAAAATTTCAGGATGGCACTGAGTTATTCATATTTAACGAATAAGTAAAATAAACATAATACTCCTATTTTGGAATTTTCACATTGTTTTTACTCCTGTTTTCGGGAATTTAGTTATTATAAGTATTATTATTTACTTATTGTTTATTATTAGTATTACTATTTCTTGTGTAGCTTGACACTACATTGCAGAAATGAATGAGTTATATTTATCCACGGACTGGTCTATTAGGCATGGTGAAGTATGCCTATATTATTCTTGATTTTCCTTTCATTTCATGTGATTGAATTGAATATTTAAAATGAGTACAATCTGTTATGAATTAGATAAACCAGAAATTTTCTTAAACTGTGTTCAAAGCTTTCAATTTGCATCGTTTGCTCTGTTTGTTACATAGTTGGGATTATGGTGCTGATGTTGATGAATATATTTTATTCATCTCTTAAGTAAAGCACACTATTATTTTGCGAAATGATCCAGAATGTGTGAACTACACTCTTTAGCATTTTTTCAAATGCTTTCCAAATTATCGTCTGTCCTATAAAACAAAAAAATGCTTGATGCCTTTTGCACTTGAGCAGTATTTTCAACTGCTCTGGAATTGGATTCTTACTTGATTTCTACTCGTATGGGACAGTTGGCCACCAAAAAGTGGACAATCTTTTCAATCCTGAAAAGAATCTGTTCCTTAAAAAGCTAATAAGTAATGGTTCGAAATGCTCCTAAATCCCTCATCCAAAGTCTTGCTCTGCTTTAACCTAAAAGCTGCTGCTGTTTGAGGAGAAGAAAGCCCATAAACAAGATGAGCAGCAGCTTTGGTGATAACCTTTTTGACTATTCACCTCCTCAAAGATATATGCAGGGAAATGATTATGGAAGCTTTACCTATGGGCCACCTAGCTTGTACAGCCGAACGAGAACACAATATGGATTTCCTCAATTTCATCAACTAGAAGAGTCTACTGATTGGAACACCAGGAACAGAACGCAACCTGGATATCCTAACTCTCTTCTGTCAGAGCCTACTGATTGGTACAACAGGAACAGAATACAACCTGGGTTTTATCGGCCGGAAGGGCCTCCAGTAAGCACATAGTCGTATTTCATATGTATGTATATCAGTATACAGCGGCGGAACCAAGCGGCGGAACCGGACAATAATTTGAGGGGGTGCTCTTATATTTTTTTTTTTGAAAAACAATTTTTTATTAGGATAAAATAAAAACGAGTGAAAAATAATTATTAATACATATAGAGTGAGGTTCTAATAAAAAGAGTTATTCCCGTGAAAAATGAGAACGGGCGCATTTTTTACTCATTTTGGTACACTAGTAGATATTTATTTTACACTTTTTCACAATGAGAGAAAATTTTGATTTATTTATCAAATTGTCACCAAATTTTTGATAAAATATAGTGCATTGTTGACTGATTTTGACTCATCGGATCTCAAGTTAAATGCACAAGATTTATTCTCTATCAATTTTCATGATAAGAATTCTTTTTATTTGATCCGAAACTTATATATATGTATATGTAGTGTGTTTCAAATAAAAATGCTATTATACTAAACAAAAGGTAAATACTTATATTAACTTAAAGTAGTTTTAGAATTATTCTTGACATTAAATGACAACGTCCGTATATGTCATTATTAGAAGAAGAAATGATTAAAATTAATTTGAATTGAAGAAATGAGAATTTAAAATAAAAGATATAGAAATTCAAAAAGTGTGATTTAAACAACATTGCATCCTAGAGTGATTTAATTGAACATAAATAATTACCAAATGGGCTAAAGTCTAAAGAAGCAATAATGGAGAGCAAAAAAAAATTGTTGCTCTTGAGAATTGAACCCAGACCATTTAGGTAAAACAGAGCTCTTCCAACCTCCACCCTACCATTTGAACTATCGCAACTCATACATTCAAATAGCGAATCCACTTTAATATATCAATACTTTCTGAACCGGGGCTGAGATATATACAGAACCACAGCCGGAGAAGGGGGAGAGCCGGCACCGGCTCGCCCCCTAGTTCCGCCACTGTCAGTATATCTATATGGTTTGCACATGCACAAGCTTGGTTCCATAAACATGTATTTCTCATCTCTTGCATGCAGTCCTTCCAGAACAACCAGAATGGTTTCTTTCAGCATTCAAGACCGTCACTTATTACGAGGAGAATTATAGAAGATGCCATAGAGGCATTCGACGCGTAACTTTTCTCTCTTTAGACTCTACATGTTGTTCATAGATTTCATATTTCCACATGCATTTCTCCAATACTGTTTTTAGATACTTTTATTATTTCATCATAATCAGGAGGATACTTAACCATTAGTCTGTGATTTCAATCGTCATTTAAGGGCTCATTTGGTACAAGAAATGTCAAACTCCCTTAGGAGATGTTAGATCACTGGAATGTGTGTAAATTGTGTTCCGTTAATATTGTGGGGGATGTTAGACCATACTACAACCCAACCAATTTCTTCAAATATATCGACAATATTTGGCTCTTAAGATGTTATCTATTTGGTTATTGACAAAAATCATCAAACAACGAAAGTCATAAAAGATTATGATGATGGTTACATTTAGGGGGGAACACCATATGTAATTGTCATATAGAGGTAAGTCACTCTAAATTTATTTCACCCTTACTTAAGCTAAGCCTTTTGTGCAATTATACATGTGGAATAATAATCACGTAGTAATATAACATTGTAACCAAAATTGCAGATTGCCGCCACAAAGACTATTTCCTCCGCCAAACCGAGCTGTAGCTTTTGAAGATCATTTATCAGCAAATGGTTTTCCAAATCATACTCACCAACCAGCCCGTCCTTCTCCTCCTCCTGTTCAGTGGTCCATACGCCTCCATGGTAATCCTCAAAACCAAATAAACCAATCCAAGCTAACTACGGATGAGCAGGAAAAGGTGTTATGCAAACTAAAGAAAGAGAAGTACAATCCGGCGGCAAGAACTGCCATCCCAAAGGAGCAGGATGAGAACTGGAAGAGGTGTTCCGTTTGCCTGGAAGATTTCGAGCCGAGAGAAGAGGTGACTCTCACTCCTTGCCGCCATATGTTTCATGAGGACTGCATTGTCCCTTGGGTGACTAAGGAAGGATCTTGCCCCGTTTGTCGGTTCGTGGTTATTGAGAGGAGGCCTAATCGAGACAGCTCAGCACGAGACAGCTCAGCACGAGACAGCTCAGCACGAGCCAACTCAGCACCACAAGACAACTCAGCACGAGACAGCTTAGCACCACGAGGCAGCTCAGAACGAAATGTCAATCCACGAGAAGTGGACCGTGCGTTGGCTAATGGGGATCTGTATGCGTTATTGAGAGCGCTGAGGTTGGATGATGTTGTTCCGTATTCTGTTGCGGTGGGATGATGAAGCCTGATGCGGATATGGAGAAATAACTTCCTCAGTTTGTACTATGTGCAAGAATAATATACACCCAAAAATAAACCAAGTACGTTAATACGTAGTAAGTACTCATTGTCAGTATTAATCATGCGATGTCTCAAATGTGCATGCAAAAGAAAGAGAACATAAATGTGACTGATCTATAGTTATGTTAATTATTTGAAGTGACCGAATCCAAAAGAACATGTAAAACAAATGACAATTTGATCTCATAAAACTCACAATGGATTTAGAACCCTGGTATCTCCTATCACTTTTGAGTCCGACAATGGTATCCAAAAGTACTTACGGGAGTATGTTCTAGGAGGGGAACAAAGAGTAGACAAAGGCTTACATCGTCCATCCCCCCATAAAAACAATTGAAAAAAAGAAGTAAAAGAACCAAAAGGCTTAAACAAAAACGAACAAATACTCATATAGCTATCTAACTTACTTATCAACTTCAAAATTGAAAGCCGATTTTGCGCTTTGTCCTTCCCCTTATTCCTTTCATGAAAAAATTATCTTTAAAATATTTGTTATTAATAAATAGAATAAAAAATTATATGAAAAAATAGCTAAAATGATCCTCTACAGTAACTTCAGCCAATACAGTCAGAAAAGTAACTCTAACCTTACTTTTTCTGCTTATTACAAAATTCAGAGCGTGAAATCAAAAGTTACGTATTTGGTGAAAAAGCTGGCTGATAAGCTTGATAAGCCAGAAAAAGAGGTCACCAAACGGGATCCAAATCTCTTTATACATCACCTCAAGCCATTTTAGTTATGCGGCCTCTTGGAATGCACATAGCCATACACTATTAAGAAATTAATGCGAGTACTTACATAGTATGCCATAACCTCAAAGAGTAGCCGTGAACTTCACCAAATTCATCTCTAAACAAACCTCAAACACTATAATATGCACACGTTAAATGTACTTTAAACACTTTTTGTACACTCATCCGTGTATTTATTTTCAATGCAACTTCGTTAAAAACTAAGAAAGTGTGCCATAACCTCACAAATTAGCCATGAACTTCATGAAATTAATCTCTAATCACTTTTTGTACTCTCACATGTATACTTATTTTCAATGTAACTTTGTTAAACTTGCAAGCCTCTTAGGGAACGAGACTCAAGCCAAACTACGAGTAACAGAAAAGGTGTGTGTCGCTTATAATAAAGAAGTATTTTCGCAAAATTCATTGTAGTAGCTCTCGCGAGGTCTCTCGTGTCCAAAGACACCACATTCACGGTAAGAGATATAGTAAAATTAGTAGAAACTCCTGACCTGGAACGCTGAAATAAAAAAATAGAAAAAAATAAAGGCTTTATTCAATTGTATAACACAATTTAGATATTCATGCCAACCAATTTAATTTGATGTAGGAACACACTCAAGCCAATCCATATCCAGTCTAGAACAATTGGCCAAAATTGGTGCGAGAAAAAAAAATCAAAGAATTGTGGAGATGTTTGTAGCCACTTGGCAAAAGGCCACGTATGCCATTCCCAAACCACATTCATTTCTCTTATTCCTTCTAAAATCTTCTTCAACCTCCGGTTTCCTCATCAATCCCTCTTTCTCAACGTCTAAGCTATCTTCAAGTAACTCTCACTGCTTCCTAATCTCTCATTCCGGCATGGGATGCAGATAGCTGGGTGTCGGAGAGTACAACGCTCAAAGGTAGAGTTGGATTCTCAAGTTATCATTCTCAAGGTAGAGTCGAGATCGCGTTGACCCACTGCGTTCACTTCGAAGTCTCCTCATACTTCACTGCTTATCCCTTCTCTTGGATCAACAGGTGTATTATGTGGATCTTTATTTTACTCTGTGTGTCTCTGTGCGCTTATTCTGCTGTTTTGGGATATCAATTGGTTTCAAATTTCGTCTGCTGAAATGTGTGCAGGTTACTGGAAATTTGTCAATATGGCAACTTCATCAGTGTGTATAGCAGGAAATCCCTCTTTGGCCCACAGAACAACACGTACAGGCTTCTACAAAGAAATTTATGGAAGGCAGACTTTGTTTGCTTCGGGCTTACCATCATTTAGTAAACCATCAAAAAAGTTCATTGTGAGTGCATCACTGAGACGGAATTCTCATGAAGGAAGAAGAGGGTTTTTGAAATTATTGCTAGGAAATGCTGGTCTTACTGCTGCACCTGCAGTTATAGGCGGTGGGAAAGCTTATGCAGACGAACAAGGGGCGTCCAATTCCAGGATGTCTTATTCCCGATTTCTCGAGTATTTGGACAAGGATAGAGTGAAAAAGGTCGATTTGTTTGAAAATGGAACAATTGCCATTGTTGAGGCAATATCTCCTGAGCTGGGAAATCGGGTTCAGAGAGTTCGTGTTCAACTTCCAGGGCTTAACCAGGAACTCCTTCAAAAATTCAGGGAAAAGAATATTGATTTTGCAGCCCACAATGCTCAAGAGGATTCTGGTTCTTTGCTATTTAACTTGATTGGGAATTTAGCATTCCCACTTCTCCTGATTGGGGGTCTCTTCCTATTATCAAGAAGGTCTTCAGGAGGAATGGGAGGTCCCGGTGGTCCCGGTTTCCCTCTGAACTTTGGTCAATCCAAAGCCAAGTTCCAAATGGAACCAAACACGGGTGTGACATTTGATGATGTGGCTGGTGTGGATGAGGCAAAGCAAGACTTCATGGAGGTGGTGGAGTTCTTGAAGAAGCCTGAGAGGTTCACTGCAGTTGGGGCTCGCATACCCAAGGGCGTTCTTCTTGTGGGACCCCCTGGTACGGGGAAGACCTTACTAGCAAAAGCCATAGCCGGGGAAGCAGGTGTTCCTTTCTTCTCGATCTCCGGTTCAGAGTTTGTTGAGATGTTTGTTGGTGTTGGTGCGTCTCGTGTCCGTGACCTTTTCAAGAAGGCCAAGGAGAATGCTCCTTGCATTGTGTTTGTTGATGAAATTGATGCGGTTGGACGGCAGAGAGGGACAGGCATTGGTGGAGGGAATGACGAGAGGGAGCAAACCCTTAACCAACTCCTCACTGAAATGGATGGTTTTGAAGGAAATACTGGAATAATAGTCATTGCAGCAACTAATCGGGCTGATATTCTTGACTCTGCCTTGTTGAGGCCGGGGAGGTTTGATAGACAGGTAAAAAAACTATGCATTATTTGCTTTCATTTTGTATTTTTGTGGAATGAGTCTAACTTATTTCAAAATGATCCTCATTGAGTTGAGGACTTTTGACTTGCATGCTAGACTCAAAACCTATTTAAAAACCCATTCTAGGATAGTTGACAGTATGACACACCCCAGTTACACTATTTGTGCTGGTCGGTTGAAGGGATAGACAAATGGGCTGGAAAGACTCCAAAAGGGCTGTATCAAACCATTGAGTGGCGATGCCCTACAAATCACCACTGGATTGAGCTCTAGTAGTCTAGGGTTGAACCCAAAAAACTGCAGAGTTCAAACAGACCAACATCCTGACCATATTGAACTGACCAAAACACATCTAACCATGAGCAGTTCAGTTTGCTGTTTAAGGATTGATCTTTAAAAACCACTCATACTGAACTGTTTAAAATAGACCAAAAAGGAATAAATCGGGACTTGCATAAGTGATTAGGTTTGATTTTGCGTTTTGCAAAAACTGAACCGCCTAACCAAAACCAAACCTACAAGCAACTTTATCTGATGCTGTGTTAGATTATTGGGTCTAATTCACTTCAAAAGAATTAGTTAACCTAACACTTAAACACTAGGTTTTAAACCCAGTAGACAACTGATATGGGATACTCAACACTTTATGTATTATTATCATCCATGAAAAGCTAAATTCAAAGTTGTGTTACAGGTGACTGTTGATGTTCCAGATATTAGGGGAAGGAAAGAGATATTAAAGGTCCACGCCAGCAATAAGAAGTTCGATTCCAATGTGTCTCTTGAAGTAATAGCAATGAGGACACCTGGTTTCAGTGGAGCTGATCTGGCAAACCTCTTGAATGAGGCAGCCATATTGGCTGGTAGGCGTGGGAAAACAGCAATCACATCTAAAGAGATTGATGATTCAATTGATAGGATTGTGGCAGGGATGGAAGGGACAACTATGACAGATGGCAAGAGCAAAAGTCTCGTGGCATACCATGAAGTTGGCCATGCAATTTGTGGGTTAGTTCCGAAAAGCTGTTTTTATTTATATCTAGTAATGGGTCAAGTTAGCCGTGAACCAATCCTACTTATATGTATGAATTTATTTATTAGATTGAATGCATATAACACACTAAACTTGTTTGACGTACTTTTTGTTGAAATGCAGGACTCTCTTTTGAAAATGACATTTGAAATATGGCTCTTGTAGTCTTGTAGAAATAGGACTGTCTTATCAGTTTGCTGCAAATAGTTGGTTTTGTGGCGATTTTAAGATTAACTAAAAAATATTTGTTTCATTCCATTTCCTTGTAATGCAGTACCCTCACACCTGGACATGATCCTGTTCAAAAAGTCACACTAATCCCACGTGGTCAAGCAAGGGGTCTAACCTGGTTTATTCCATCAGATGACCCCACCTTGATCTCCAAGCAACAACTCTTTGCTAGAATTGTTGGAGGACTCGGTGGACGAGCTGCAGAAGAAGTTATCTTTGGAGCACCGGAGGTGACCACTGGCGCAGCTAGTGATTTACAACAGATCACTGGTTTGGCCAAGCAGGTTTGCAATAGATGAAATGCTAACATCTTTTGCCTTGTCTTTTTAATTTATCTTTTTCTCGAGTGAGCTTTGGGGTCATTTGCAGCCGAGGACATTCTAGGTAAATATAATAGGAAGACAAACATTGAATATTTAAGTAATGTTTTTTTATTTCATCATTTTCGCCCATACGTTATACGATGTATGTAGTATTTCGTTAATATTTAAGTTGAAACCTCTTTTTTTATTTACTTATATCTACTACGTGAAGTCTAAAAAATCATAATATATGTAAAGTTGATCTAAAAATAAATATAGCATTTTGATTCTTTGCGTTTTTATGTTAAAATCAATCATAAGAAAATAATTTTAGATAGACAGAGGCAGAAGTAGTAGTTTGGGGGTGTACATACTTATAATCTACAAAAATATGTTGAAGTGTGAAGCATATGCCCTCATTATGTAAGTTCTAAAATTTTCAATCATTGCCCCCACCCCCTTATATTGGTTTTCCGACCCAGTTTTTGTTCATGCTATTTTTGGGATTTGAACATACACTAACTGAGAGTCTTTATTTTCTGTGCTCCTTTATGTAGATGGTTGTTACCTTTGGAATGTCTGAAATTGGTCCATGGTCACTCATGGAGTCAGGGGGGCAAAGTGCTGATGTGTTCATGAGAATGATGGCCCGTAACTCCATGTCAGAAAAGCTAGCGGAAGACATAGATGCTGCAGTCAAGAGGATCTCAGATAGGGCTTATGAGATTGCATTGAGTCACATCCGGAGCAACCGAGAAGCCATTGATAAGATAGTGGAGGTCCTCATTGAGAGGGAAACAATGAGCGGAGATGAGTTCCGTGCAATTCTTGCTGAGTTTGTTGAAATTCCCACCCAAAACCGTGTTCCTCCTGCACTGCCCACCCCAGCCACTGTATGATAATCTTCTAATATGTATACTTACTTGTGTTTTTGTTTTTAATGACTTGGTGGCATATATATGTCGTCATCTTTTTTCTTTTTATTTTGTATAAAAATAACTGCTTTGTAATCCATGTAGTTAAAATCGATTGGAAATAGAATGTCAGATTGCAATATTGCATACAAACTTGATCAATTAAATTTGCTTTGTGCTTGTTTATTCCCAACCCCACACCAGTGGGGTACCCAGGATTTTGTTTTTTGGAGGGTGATAATGTAAAACTAATACTTTTTTTTATATATCTTTCTAAATTTTTATTATAGTATTTGCTCAAGATAATGATGACATTTTTAATTGGGATGAGATTCGAACCAGTGACTTCCGAGTTCCGAGTCGGCTGCTAAACCCCACCATGTCACTATTAAAGTATTTCTCATTAACAAATGTAACAATGTATACATACAAACCAACCAACACATAAGACTTAAGAATTTTATTTAGATGACAGGGCTCCCATATATTATAAATTGCTTATATTATCCTCAATCGGGCTAATGGAGCGGGCATCACACATCTGCATAAGTAGGGCTGACCTCAATTCCGGAACTTGACCAGACTGGAATTGGTTGGGTAGAAAAACTGAACTGGTGCCCATGTTTTCAGTTTTGGACTTGAACCAGTTCCGATTTTTCAAAACTGGACTGTAACTGAATGGTTCTGGTTTCTTTTTAAGAAAAAAAAAGACTAAATGCGGAGAATGGAGATGGAATCGGTTCCATGTGGTTACGAATCGGGTTTCACCCCTACCCTTACCTAGGACTGGATTGGAACTGCCCAGTGTATCCCGCTAATGATAGGGATATGCTGAGGTTTCACTCAATCTGCACAGTGTTCATCTTATTTGCATATCCCACAATGTACATAGCCTTCTTATTTGCATTAAGATGTGATTTTTCTTCATGTCACTAATATCGGATTATTATAAATATAAATGAAAATAATGATGAAAAAATGCAAACGCAAGTTTCACTTATCTGTGATAATTGATTGTTTCTATATATCTCGAACTTGACCACAGGGCTCAATTGCACTGATACAATCAGAGTTGTAAAAAAAGTGTTATGTGCCATTTATGTGTTACTGTGTTACAGTATCAATGACACATTTGGTACTCAACTTTGATTTTGATGTTGTTGTTGTTGTTGTTAGTCTTTTGAATATTGTACGAGACACTTCAGTCCGGGGAATTTAAAATTTCCCACATTTAGTCTGGAGTATTTTGAAATTGACACTTTTAGTCCTACTATGGTTTTGCCACAATGAGTGGAGGACTAAAAATGTCAATATGATAATAGTTGAATGTCCACGTTTCACCTTTGTGAATGTCAAAGGACTAAATATGGAAAATTTCAAAAGACGAGTATAAAAAACGTCTCAGACAAGAGTCGAAAGATTAAAAATGAAACATTCAAGTGGTAAAAACTCCTGTAAAACTCTGACAGACAAAATCACTAAAGCTATGGATGGTCCAACCCATTCAGGCAGTATTCGGAGCTTCTTCTTCGTCGTAAGTGGCTTCAGCTAGAGATTGGAGCATGAGTATAACTTCAGATGGGTCATCCAGATAGTATTTGGCTTTGCTGGGCTTTTGTCCAACAGTGCAAGCAAAGACCTTTGCACTTTGGGAGAGGATATTCCTAGAGAGAGCAACATCTATCATTTCAAACATATCTTCATCAGATCTGTCATCCCCAATGCATAGCACAAAATCTGCTGCTTTCCCTTTTTCAGACATCTTGGTGAACACCTTTTCTGCAACCAACCCTTTGGTCACTCCCTGAATTAAAAACAAACATACAAGTGTTTTCAGCAGAATAGAATTGAGGCTCAGTTTGGTAGTCTCTTTCAGCTTATTCCCATTTATCAGCAGAATAAGTAATTTTGACTAATTGGGTTTAAATGAATGTTACCGAACACTTCTTTGTTCCTTAAATTCATCAGATTTAACCATTTAGGAAATAGAACACTTACCAAAGGAGTCAAAAAAAAAAAAGAATACAATGGGAATACAAAACATGCCTGGGGCTTGACTTCTACAATGGATCGTCCACCTTTGACAGCAACAGGTTCATTGGCTAAAACACTCTCAAGATGATCAAACATCTCCTTGGCCTGAGAAAAACCAAAACTGGGGTCTGCATCAATATACTGCCACACAATGGCACTTTCCTTCTTCTCAATGCAGGAACCATCTGTTGCATCTGTATATGATTGCATCACAGGTTCTGCAAGTTCCATCCATCCAAGATCACAATTCTGACTTGCCTCTTCCCATTCTTCACCTTGTGACCACCTGCATTAGTTTATTTCTCAATCCTTTGTTTGGGTAAGGAAGGAAATAGTAAAGGAAGTCATAGAAGAAAATACGTAGTAGAAAATTAGTGGAAAATGGGTAGGTTTTTAAGTTATTTTGGTGCATTAAGGTAGGAGAGGAGAGAAAGAAAAGTTGATTTTTCTTGTGAAGACATGTATTTTCATTATTTTATGTAGTGGTTGCATTGTAGACTGTAGAGGCAAAATTAGCAAGGTAAAAAACTTGAAAACGATCTGTTGCAAAATGTCTTCACTTCCAACTTTTGACGTTTTCTAGCTTTTCTTGTTTCTTTCTCCATCCAAAGATTCCAAACAATAATAAAAGAAAAAAATCTTCCGTCCCTACTTTCCTTCAAAAACATGCTAAACAAATAGAGGGTAAGGCTCCGATGGGTAGCCACTAGCCAATAGCCAAGATCTGCTTATAGCAAAACACATAACTTTTGACCTACTTATTTGGCTCAAAGAGAAGTTGCTTAACATTGTTTCCGTCCAGAAAATTTGCTCATCCAACAATTTCAGTGAAATAAATCATTTTAATGAAGAAGAGGATGATGATATAATGATACCTTAAGAAGTAGCCGTGTTCTGCTGCAAGCCCCAGCTTCGGACAGGGAGAACACCAACTGCTTAAGCTTTCCCTTCCCCTCCCACTAACAATAAACACTCTATTATTTTGGTAACTAGAGATTTTATCCAAAATTGAGATGACCTGTGCACTAGGTGACTTTATGATAGAGCTTTGAGGCATAACAGTTCCATCATAGTCCAACAACATTGCTCTGTCCTTTGCCTTAACATAAGCTGACACAATCTCCTCTATCGATAGCTTTCTGAAGTTGGGGTCTAATGCCACAACCCTGAATCCAAACCCCAACCCAATACCATAGCATCTTTTCCTGAAGTGGTCGGTGCACTTCTTCTCCAAATCTTGCAAGAAGCTTCTAGACCAGTATGCCACGTCATGTGTGCTGATGTAGCGATAGTGCTTCTCATGACGAAGCTGTTTCTCTGCTTCATCCATCGATATGCCCTCATTCATTGCTTCTGCAGTGGCTTCAACGTTCCACGGGTTAACCCGGATCGCCCCACTAAGCGAAGGTGAACATCCAATGAATTCAGATAACACTAAAACACTTTTCTTGGGCCCGGTTGAGCCACCATCGGGTATTCCTTGTCGACACACTATGTACTCATACGGTCTCAGGTTCATCCCATCCCTTACTGCTGTTGTGACTAGACACTCTGCGATGTTATAATAGGCTGTTTTCTCGCTGCTCGATATGGGTGAGTCTATGAGCACAACCGGTTCATAACCTTCTTTACCGAATCTCTCATTGATTCTCTGACAGCTTTCTTGGATTTCTGATTTGATCTCATCCGAGTAGATCGCTTTTCCTTTTGGAGGGGTCACGATTTGGACCAAAACGGCCTTCCCTTCCCATTCTTGGTGTTGTTTGAGCATGTGTTCCATGGCTAGAAGCTTTAAGTTGATGCCTTTGAAGATATCAATGTCATCAACCCCTAGTAACACCGTTTTTCCTTCGAATTGCTTCCTAAGCTCTTCGAGTTTTGTTTCCTTTTCCGCAAGTCTCATGAGTGACTCGATATGTCCCATGTGGACCCCAATGGGCATAATCTTTATACCGACGATCCTCCCATAGTACTCCAAACCAATGTAGCCCCTTTTAGAATGATACTCCACTCCTAGCATCCTACTACAGCAAGAGAGGAAATGCCGGGCGTAATCGAAATTGTGGAACCCAATAAGGTCTGAACATAAAAGAGCCTTGAGAATCTCTTCCCTGACCGGAAGTGACCTGTAAATCTCAGAAGAAGGGAATGTGCTGTGGAAGAAGAAACCGATTCTCAACCGGTTGAACCGCCTCCTCAAGAATGTGGGGACCACCATCAGATGATAATCGTGGATCCAAACGAAATCCTCATCGGGGTTAAGAACCTCGACGACTTTCTGCGAAAAGGAATTGTTGACAGACACGTAGGCCTGCCAGAGGGAGCGGTCGGAGTGGGCCCCACGATCAGTGGGGAACGGGAGCATGTAGTGGAAAAGTGGCCACAAGTGCTCCTTGCAGAAGCCCTCATAGTACTTTTCTAGAACAGTTGGCGGAATGAAAGTGGGGATGCATCTGAACTTCTCGAGGAGGTGGTGAGAGACATCGTCCTGGTTGACCGGGTCGATTTCGACGCATAAACAGCCAACGTAGATGATCACCATGTCTTCCGGTAAGCCGTCTTTGAGTCTCAGCAGCAGGGAATCTTCATTCCACGAAAAGATCCAATCTTTATCGTCTGCATCTCTTGTTGCTTTCAATGGCAGCAGATTAGCCACGATGATCATCCTGTCACTGGAGAGTGAGGACGGATTGTCGGAGAAGGCGGCACTGTGATGCGACTGTTGATCGTCGAAATCGCAGATGTTCCCCGGAACAGACATGGCCCTCGGGAACCGTTTGCCTTCGCGCTCCTTCTCCCTCTTCATTGTAGGGAAATTGCCAGTGGCCAAATCTAGAAGGTTTGTGTACGATCTTAACATCATATTTGGATATGAAGAAATCAAGACTCACAGAAATCTCCGTTATAGATGTTTTATTGCGATCAGTTCTCTCTACACACATGAAAACAATCCCTCATACGTAACGCAGAAACAGCAGCAGACCTGAGGCCGGTATCTATCAAGTGGTCATGCTTGGCGAGACTTTGTTGAAAGAAAAGTTCGCATCTGCATGGAAAGTTAAAAACTTTGTTGACGATTTGAGATGAAAATGATGGGCATAATAGATTTTTGTATAGCCTGTTCCTATCATTTTACGAAACTTGAGATCGCTTTAATTACGTAACAAGAAGAAAACATGTGAAATGTCCTCATTCTCATCCTATTGTTTCTTTGTTACTGCTATACTTTTTTTTACTACTATACTTTCTTATAATTTTTTGAGTGGATCACCCATCTTTAGACTTTCCTGCCATATGCTCGCTTAATTGCAAAGTTTTTTAATTAAATAGGAGTTATTAAGGATGTGAACACCCTCTATTTAACGCATTACTATGTGAACACACTCGCTTAATTGCTAGTTAGACCCTAAAAGAAAAAGTGGTGCTGATCCCAGTAAGATCAACAAACATATTGCAACTAGGATGAGTCACACGTTTGGTATCCTACTATTTCTACATAATGGCTTTTTGGGTGTAGTTTTTTCCTACTAAACAGAAAATATTCTAATGTATCAAAGGAATATCACACTATTTTTTTGATCGAGGAATGTCACACTATTGTGACACATTTTCTGTAAAAATCCATACAAGATTAACTACGTACCCTCCGTGTGTACATTATTTGTTCTTATCGTATAAACAAATCTATCGTATAAACACTTGTATTTACATCAAAATAACGATTGTTACGTACACTAGAGGAACTGTATTATTACAAATGTAATCCTAGGAGCTGAGCTAGAGTTGCAAGCTTGGTTAGGGGTTCTCATTTCTCATTGTTATTTTCTCCCTTTTGAAAGCTTTAGGGGTATGTTTGAGAGTTTGGAGGGGAGGGGAGGGAAAGGCTTTTGAAGGTATGTTGTTGGAGGGGAAAGGGAGGGGGTGAGGAAGCCCTTTTTTGTATTTGGGAGTAATAAATTTGGAAGGAGAGAGTTTTGAACAAATTATAATTAAAATCACTTTGAAATATGACGAATTCAAATAATTGAATTGATATTTATTTTTAATTGAGTTCAAATTACCATTTCGTTAATTATCCTTCAAAACCATCCAAATTGGGGGAACTCAAAAATTAAACATTTAGAGGGTTTTTGGAGGGTCACGAAAGCTTTCTAAAATCATCCCCTCCAATTTTATAAACTCCCAAACATGAAAAGAGGATCATAAACCCATCAACCTTTTCCTCCCCTCCAAAACTCAACACTCAAACACACCCTAAGGGTATGTTTGGGAGTTTGGAGGGAAGGGGAGGGGAAGATTTTGGAGGTATGTTGTTGGAGGGGAAAGGGAAAGGAGGGTGAGGAAACCCTTGTATTTGGGAGTAATAAAATTGCAAGAAGAGAGTTTTTGAAGGAATTATAATTAAAATAACTATGAGATATGACGAATTCAAATCATTGAGCTGATATTCATTTTTAATTTAGCTTAAATTAACATCTTGTTAATTATCCTCCAAAACCTCCCAAACACACCCTAAGAGTATAAATTGAACTCTTGCAAACAATAGTCCGCCAAGCGTAAATTTTTGTCCCATTTATGTTTGCAAAGTTGTAATCACATATATTTACAGGGAGAACTATCAAATAAGCCCTCGAACTTTCATAAAAAGTGCAAATAAGCCCTTTCATAGGAGGCTCTATCAGGTCGTCGCCATTTGGGGCGGTTTCCGGTGGATTTTTTTGATGAAATTTTTTGATCATCTTCTTCATTAAGTCTAGTTTACGCATACCAGATTTCAGCTAAACATTCAATCGGGAAGGCAGTCAAATGAATTTGTGAAGATAACTGTGCGGTTAGGTAGCGCAGTATATTTCAGAAAATCATTTGACTGCCTTCTCGATTGATTTTTTAGCTGAAATGTGGTATGGATAAACTAAACGTAATGAAGAAGATGGTCAAAAAACTTTACCAAAAAATTCCACCGGAAACCGCCCCAAATGACGACAGCCGAACAAAGCCTCATGTAAAAGGGCTTATTTGCACTTTTTATGAAAGTTCGAGGGCTTATTTGATAGTTCTCCCTATATTTACACATAAGTCATTAAATGCCCCTGCTTTCATCCATATTTTAAATTTATAACTTAAATAGGTTTTAATTATATAGTTCATTTTCTTTAATCTCGTTCTTGCCTTAAATACGCATCTTTATTCATTACGGGGTGTATTGAATATGGATTGTGATAAACTTTTTAAATCCATGGACTTCTAAAAAGCCTATGGACTTTTAAATCCATAAACTTTTTTATTCTATTGACTTTTAAATCCGTGCATAAATTTATAGACTTTTAAAAAGTTCACAGACTTTTAAATTTGGATTGTCACTGCCGATCATCGGAATTTTCACCTAGATCGCCGCTAGTGATTTGCCTATCTGCGCCTCGGTCACTGGATATTTAATATGACACCTAGGCATGGACCGGGACCGGGCCGATTCAAGCCGAGCTTTTTTTTAGGATGTTAGGCCCGGAAGTCCGAAACCGGTCCACGACCGGTTCAATGTAATTTTTTTTTGCTTTCAAATTAACCCCCTCCCCCCCCCTCACCCCCAATACCCCACCCCCACCCCTCAACCACCTGCCCTACGCCACCCCCTCACCCCTTACCCTACCCCTGTACCCCCTACCACCTTCCCCTACCTTGACCCGACCCCACCCCTACCCCGTCCCTACCCCTCCTACCCCCACCCCCACCCTTGACCCGACCACTACCCCGCCCTACCCTACCTTACCCTGACCCCCAACCCCACCCCAGACCCGAACACCTTACCCCTACCCCGACCCCTCCACTACCTGCCCTACCCTTGTACCCCCTACCACCTTCCCCTACCTTGACCTGACCCCGAACCCACCCCTACCCCCCCCCCCAACCCGCAACCCTCGAAACACCCAGCCCTACCCAAGGAAAAGAAAAAAATTGAAAAAAAAAAAATGAACCGGGTCCAGCCCGGAGCACCTACCGGTTCATGAAATATAAGGCCGTGACACGTGAACAGGTCGGTAAAGCAGGTCGTCGGTCGAGTTTCGATGCGGTGGATGGGCCGTGCCATAAAAGCGGTTCTCGAGCCTGACCCGCCCAAACCAGGCTAAAGCCCGGAACCGCCCATCCCCAACCGGGCCGGTCCGGGCCCGCACAGTAGCCGGCCAAACCAGTTCCTGGTCCGATTCAGTCCGATTGGGTCCATCTCTAATGACACCTTAAAAATATGATACCTATTTTATATGTACTTTATTTTTTAATGTATGTCCTTTCAAAAAAAATTGTAATATCCATAATGTATTTGAGTGTTTGTGAAATGAATTTAATTTTTTTGTAGCGCAAGTGTGTTTAATCCTGCACAAAAACTCTTGATACGTACGAATTACGAAGTATATGCTGATAGTAGTATGATTGTTGTCCGTAAGAATTAAATACTGCCTCCATGACATTACAAAATAAAGAAAGAAAGCTTTTTTTAAGGACGGACTGAAAATGAAAGTGAATGTTTATTTATGGACGGAGGGAGAGGGACACAATTGCCGTCATAGTATGATTGCACGTAGGGATGGACCGGTTCCGGTTCAGGCCCAACCGGGCCTCGGTTCATGAAGGGGAGGCCCGGAACCGGCCCAGGTAACCCCCCGGGTCCGGGTAGGGTTGGACTCGGGTCCGGGTCGGGCCTTGGCCCGGGCGGGCCGGCGGTTCAAGAATGGTGGACCCGGGACCGGCCCGGGTAGCCACCGGGCCGGGCCTCCGGTTTGGATTTTTTTTTTTTTTTTTGCTTTCCTAACCCCCCCCCCCCCCCCCCCTCACCCCCACCCTCCCAAACACCCCCAAACCCATCCTACCCATCAAGCCCAACCCGGGTGGAACCCCAAAAATGAAAAAAAAAATAAAAAAAATCAATTTGGCCCGGGCCCGGGCCCGACCCGGCCGGGCCGGTTCACCAAAATTGAGACCCGAGCCCGGACCCGCCCTACCCCCCGGGCCTAGGCCCGACCCGGACCCGGACCCGGACCCCGAGAACCGGGCCGGTCCCGGTCCCGCACAGTAGCGGGCCGGGCCGGTCCACGGGCCGGGTGGCCCGACCCGAATCCAAGCCTAGGTTTGGGCCGAGCCTCGGTTCTATTTTTTTTTTTTTTGGTTTTTCCTAGTTAACCCCCAACCCTCCCCCTCACCCCCAAACCAACCCTAACCACCTCAAATGGCCCAAAATACTCGGCCCAACCCAAAAACTTAAAAAAAATCAAAAACAAATTTGGCCCGGCCCGGACCCGAACCGGCCGGGCCGGTTCACCTTTTGAAGGGCCCGAGCCCGAACCGACATCCCACCGGGCCGGGTGGCCCAAACCAGCCAACCAACCGGTTCACCGGTCCGTTCCGGGCCCGCACAGTAACAGGCCGGTCCGGTTTCAGGCCGGTTGGCCCGGCCCGAGTCCACCCCTAATTGCATGGAGTATGACTCTTTGAAAGTGCTTCCAAATTTTGAAGAGATAAAAGACATCAATCATGGAATTCCTCCATTTAGAAAAATGCAGAGATAATTTTTGTATGAACGGAAAGAAGAAAACTGAAAAGTACAATATGATAACATTTTAAATTAAATAGATATCTATTTTATTTTTTTAATGTATGTGCATTCAAAAAAAATGTAATATCCATAATTTAACTGAGTGTGTGAGAAACGAATTTGATATTTTTGTAGTGCAAACAAACCTATTTCTATTGACAAAAAAAAAACAAAACTATTTCTTATTTGTCAACGTGGCATCATACTTTAATTTGATTGGTTTAAAATTCTAGTACATTGAATGCTTAAGGACGTACGCTAGAAATTTCATAAAAATAAAACCAAACTTGATGGTTAGAATCTGATGATTCTGATCGCTAAACGCGAATACTCCCTCCCTTCTAGAAAACTTGACAACTTTTGTTATTTAATTGTTTCAAACGACTATCGTTTTCATTTCAAATAACAAATACTCCCTCCGTTCCTAAATAAATTTCCAACTTTCCTTTTTCGTTCGTTCCAATTAAAACTTCCACTTTCCCTTTTTGGTAAAAAATTTGTGGTTCACAACATTTCTTACACACATCTCTCTTCTGCACAACTCTCTACCACACAATATCCACAGATCCACTATCTTAAACTTTGTGCCAAATCAATGTGGAAGTTAAAATGGGAACGGAGGTAGTACTTTGTATGTTATTAAAGTAATTTCCCTCTCCTCTGCACAAATCTTAATTATGCAATTTTTACTTTATTATCTCACGTGTAAATTAATTTTGGCCAAATCCCAAGGGACGGGGTATGTATTGCCCGTTGCTCGTAAAACTAATAGGCATGGTTCCAATCCGAAAATTGCATCTATTCATGTTCCAAAATTTTTAAATGCTTCCGAAATTTATTGAAACTTATTTTGAGTTTAAGTATTCATTATACTTCTCACTAAAAATTACAGAGTACTACACAATAAATTCAATAGTACAGTATCCACCCGGACTCAAATAACAAACAAACTAGACAAAAATATTAAAATGTGCGTGTATGTGCATGCGTGTGTGATATTTGTGAGCACATACCCACACGGCCACACATGTTAGTTACACATACCTAAAAGAGTGTTTTGGATCCGCGGACGGAAATGGCAAGAAAGGCAACCAATTATGATCGTCAGCAGTCGAACAACTCTGTCTATATAATCAATATTTTCATGTTGATCTGGTCAGTAGTTTTTTATTGGCTTTTTCTTGAACCATGTCACAAATCTGTATGAAACTGGGTTGGTTTGTGGATGCCAGAACCCGGGCCCACATTCTGTCTGTCAACTTCACCGTGTTTTGGGTCTCTGTCACTTGCTGCAAGTATCACCATTCACAAAAGTAAACTATAACGATCCTGACAGGGTGCAAAAATATACGGAGTATATACTAGATACTGTATAAATATTTTAATTGCAGATGTTTTCTTCCATAGAATTATAGGAAAATGTATAGATAGAAATATAGAATGGGAAACAAGAATCATATTCAAGAGTTTATTTAGGTCAAAGATGACCTTAACTTGACCAGAGAGCAGCAATATAGCCTAAACTCTAAAGCAATCTAAGCATAACCAAGGTAAAAGTTGTGATGCATATATATTGTTTAAAACAAAGGGTTTAAAGGAGAACGTCTCATATCAACATTTTCCAGAGGATGAATAACGGCATCCAAACCTTACTCCCAGAGGATAAATGCTAATAAAATTTTGAAAAGGAAAACCTACCGTAAGTAGTAACAACTATCAAAAGATGCATTTCAAGTTTGGCAAGCTCAATTTTTGCCTTGCAAGCCTTATCAGCTAGCTCTTCATCCAACATTAACAGATTAACTATTGACTATTGTCAATACTCCACGCTGGCTGAATAAGTTAATAATGATTTTCAAATAATAATTACTTAAAATGGTAGAGTTTAATTTTTTTTTATAGATAGTTTTTTGCAAAATTTTCATTTGCAATGAGGCCAAAGATTCATTATTTTTTGGCTTGAGATTATGATGCAATAAAACAAAATGGCTCACTAAACTGTGTGCGCTTCTATGTTATGGAGCAGCAGTCAGTCCATGCAATTTTGGACGCGATTTTCACTATGGGTCATCCGGAAACAGTCTCTCTATGTTTTAGTACACAGGGATAAGACTGCGTACATCCGACCCCCCCTTACCCCACCGTAGGTGGGAGCCTTTGCGGCACTGGGGTAAATGAAAATGAATGAAAGATATAGTTTTTTGCAAAATTAAGCAGATTCTCAAACATTTCAACCATAACTTCAATAACTTTAGTAGATTCAACCACTTCAACCATTCAAGCCTAAGCAAATGAGTTCTTATTCATCAATTCATTGCCATCACAGTTTTATTTTCTCTTCTCGATTTGCATATCTGAAAACAACCACTAAACCAGCAGTAAAATCAAGAGGTAGGTCAAACAATTAGGACAGTATCACTGCCTAGTTTGTAGCAGAAGCCATTGAAGAGTAACAGTTCACAAATGTAATGGATGGTTATCCATTTTCCAGTTTAGGCAGTCAGTCCATCTAGTTATGGCAACACAAGTATGGAACAAGGACAAAAAGTATTTGAAGTAGGGTAAATGCATTGACAATACTTACGCTTATTGGAATATAAGCATGTCTGCCGTTTACTGGCCCAACAGTGAAACCTGTATATCCTGCCATCGCTCCATGAATGGCACTTTGAGCAAGAAGTGTGCAGTAGATATTGTCTGATCCATTACTTGGAATAGCTCGAATCATGTATGTAGGATCTATGATGGTAGCACATAAAAGATTGGTACATACGTGAGAAATATAGACAGAGAATATCAATATATCAGTAATCAAGGAAGGTCCACTAATTGCATGCATCTATGCTAAACTATTCAAACATTCAACAGGACAGCTTCCAGCCTTTGAACATTAATTTTTATTTTTTGATTATTTTAAAAGTCCATGCATGACTACCTGAGTTTGTCCAAACACACAGTATTTGAGCTTCATCAAACCAGCTATTCTTCAAAAACTGAGTTTCCAAACCTTGAGGTTTTTTTGGATCAAGAAAATGTTGTGGAGGAAGAGGGTTACATATAAATTTATTTTCTTATGCTTGGTTTAACATTTCCATCATTTGCAATGGAGCCAATGACTCACTATTTTTTGGCTTGGAAATATGATGGAATAAAGCAAAATGGCTCACTAAACTGTTTGTGCTTCTTTGAATGAAGCAGCAGTCAGTCTACGCAACTTTTGACGCAAATTTCACTATGGGTCATCCAAAAATAGAGCTTTAGTATAGGGGTAAGACTGCATACATCCGACCCCCGCCCCTTACCCCACGGTAGGTGGAAGCCTTTGCGGCACTGGGGTGATGATGATGATGATGATGCTTTTTTTAACCTTGGAAAATGCAGAGGAAAATGAGAGTAAAACTAATTTTCGATTTTATTACATCTACTTACATCTCTACCTTCATAAAGGAATAGTATGTGCATAAAAATTCATCTAAAGTAGATACTTAGTTTTAATTAATCTTCTATTACCCCATATTGTATTTCCTTTAAACTTCCCTCCTTTTACTCCTATTTTATGAAGCCCAAACAAACCCTATAATTACTATTACTATTACTAAATCATTATTAACAATATTATTACTATAACCTTCACTTCTCCTTGAAACCAATTATACCAGTCAACACCACCAGGCTTGTTCTAGCCATCTAAAATGATTAGATACTTGTGGAATTGCCATGATGGATTATTTACACTAGCTATGGTTTGGTGATTATATGATGGATCATATATCTGTGTGGTGATTGGTGATTAAGAGCATATAGATGCTTTAACACAATATGCAATGGATTGTAGGGAGACTAAAAAAGTAAGAAACTGATAAAGGAGAATTTTTTCTTTGAAAAATTTGTGAGAGATATAGTTATAACTGAGAAGTGAAAACTTAAAAGAATGTTTATTTTTCTCCATGGCTAGATGCCTAGATGTGATACCCTCTACTAGAAGGGAGATTATTTGAAACTAATGCCTCTAAAGATGACATAGAAAAAAGGAAACAGTTTTGTTAAAATTTCAGCCAAACTTAAAGCACATAGCCACATACCTATATACTTCATATTGATGGCCATGTTCAGGGCAGTTGTGAAGTGATCCTGACGTGAAACATATATCAAAGTTTAAAAGTTGAACTGAAAGAAAATGTGATGTGGAATGCAAATAGCAAAAGACATCAATATTTAATGAAGAATAGCTGTTTTCTGGGGAACAAAAAAAGTCAGATGCATTTCTTCTTCCACATTGTTAGCTCGTATCTAAAACTAAAATACAAGGTAGTAGCAATGAGCAGGTGCAAGCTCTACTGTAGGTTAGTATACACGAACAGTTTTCTGACTTTCTCCTTGACAGAAACCGGAAGTGTCGACCTTGTCAGCCTTATATCATTAAGCTTGGAATTATACAATATTCATGATGAAGTTCAACATCTAATAATACTACTCACAGATCTTGTTGAGCAAGTAAATATAGTATTAACATGTTACAATATTTCAATTGGTAATAATATTAACTTAAATTGAATATGTATATTGATAGGAAACTAATACTGATTTTAAGAACAGGAAAGTATTATTAACATTAACTTTACTAAATAATACTATTTATGTCCCATTTTGTTAGATGCACTTTCTTTCCTTGTTCTTCTGTCCGAAATTAAGAAAACTTTACGAATATGACCCTCACTCAAGTTTAAGATTCCCTATAAAAATCCATCATTTCCCTTTTATTTTTTGAGGACCAATACTATTTTTTCTTCCTTTTAAAAGGTAACAATTGTAAAGTAACAACTTAACAACTATCTCCTTTTTTCCTCAAAACTCATGCCAAACACAAATGTATCTTAAACTTTGGATAGGAGCGCGTAATAATGACTCTTTGCAAATCAAGAGCTCGAATCAGTATCACTAACATCAAAACCGAAGATGTGAAACTGTGATAGGAGATTTATGCGCAAAACCGCATTCATTTACTTGGAAGAAACGGATTTCAAACTGACAAATATGGGAAAAAATACAGAGATCAGCTTCTATGTACCTTAGTCTTTTGAGTCAACCACAGACCAGAATCCAAAAGTAACCTATTTCCTGAAGCATCTCTCTCATCAGCCGCATGCATGCTCTGAGCAACATAATCCTGCCCTGCTCCTTCAGCCAACACAATAACTATGTGCCCATTTTCTCTGAGCCTTGCTTCAATAAATTCAAATAACCCACCACGCCCTTCCAAATAAAAGGGGGACTCTGGAATCAAACAGCAATCCTGTCATTATTTAAAGCTTATTAATAAAACTTGCATTAAGACAAAACACAAACCTATCATAAATTTGAATCAGTAAAAAATATATTTTATTCTATGATTTATAGGATAATCAACAATTTTTCAACCAGGCTAATCCATGAACGGTTCATAGAGAAAAATGAGAATGCCATTTCAAGCACACAATGTTTGGTTTAGTTATAGTTAGGGGTGTTCGCCGGTTCAGTTTCGTCGGTTTCGGTTTTATAGATTCGGTTTTTAGTCAGTGGGTTTTAGAATAGGAGAAACCGAGAACTGAACTACACAACTTGAGTCGGTTTATCGGTTTTGATTCGGTTAAAATTGGTCGGTTTGTATTCGTTTCAGTCGGTTTTAGCACGTTCCAGTAGTTTTTTGTCAGTTTTGGTCGGTTTGGTCGGGTTTTTAACCCAAAGTCATAAAGCGTAAATCGAGTCGCCGATGGGTTTGTTGATTTTAGTCGGTTTTGGTTTCATTTAGTTCAATTTTGGTCGGTTTGTCAGTCGATTTCAGTTCTTCAGTTTTTTGTTCACCCCTAGTTACAATACCAGTCACACATCAATGAAGATATAATCTAGTATGCTTCCATCAACTTTTCGAGCATGATAGTCAAACTTCATGAGGAATGTATGTAGCTCAAACAAAGATACACAGAGCTTAGGAACCTTACCACATCTCGACTAGCCAAAGTTGCATGCATAGCAATGGATCCTATTAGAGTAAAAACAATAAGAAATCCAGACTGACAAATCTGTTGAAAATAAACTATCAAGTCCAGGCACTACTAAGCTACCTACCACTGTATCTACCCATAAGCTTTACAATTCCAACCCCATTCTCCACACTTTCAACCTCCACATGTGCAGCATTAATGGCCCTCTGAGCCTCTTCCACAGCAGTATCAAATCCAAAAGATTTATCGATCACCTACAATGAACATATGAGAGGAAAAGAAAAGCATACAACAATTAAGATTATATTTTGTTAATGCAATTGTGCTAGTTCACTACTGCGAAATAATGTAGCATGAAACAGAAAAATCTAGATAGATTAAAGGCCATGAGATATGTCAACTTTACCTTAAACAAGCCATGAATGTTTGGGTATTAGAAGATTAGTAAGTTGCTTCTATATATCTACTAATACTAAATGACAATTGACAGAAAATTCAAGATGTCTTATGAATAGAAACAAAAGCTATATTTGACACCAATAGATTTCGTTTGAACTTTGAACAAAATTGTGTGGTTTTTTGAGTCTCTTCAGTCAAAAGAGCTTTCACTGCTTGGTCCATTGTGGACTTCACAAGAAACACTGGTACCTTGAGTTTTCTAAAATACAACTCATGATATGGAATATAAAATACAAAAAAAGGATTGTGTAAAGAGATATGTTGTGTAAACCTAAGCACCATTAAACACTAAAGCAAGCCAATAATAATGGGTTAAACCAAATTAGTATGATTTCAAAAGTTGTATCTAATCCTTGTAAAGCAGCTTGAACATTTGTAAATACCATTTGGTATCAAACCGCAGAAACAAGCATCACAAATCTTAGATCGTATATAATACTCCCTCCATATTATAATGTTTGCTACAATAGGGTTTGGCACAATGTTTAAGAGAAAAGTAGTAGGGAGTAATTAATAGTGTAGAAAAAGTGAGAGAAAGGGTGGAAAAGTATGAAAGAGAAGATAAAAAGTAGAAAAAATAAGGGTAATTGATATTTTTAAAGGAAGAACATACCGAAAAGGGAAATTGTAGCAAAAATTAAAATACATCCCTAGAAGGGAAAGTGTAGCAAACAAAAGAATACGGAAGGAGTATGAGACTAACGGCATTAGTGATAAGAGATTAAAGATATACTCCCTCCAACCCACAAAACATGTCCAAGTTTGACTGGTAACTTGGAAGAAGATGGTAAAAACTGTGGTTATGGCTTGTGCAGAGTAGAATGACATAAAAATGGCCACAAATTTGTTACTTCAAATGGGAAGTGGTAATGTTTTAGTTTAGTGGGACAGAGATGTATATTTAAATTTTAAGAAAAACTTTGACCAACATCCCTGAACTTCGATAGTAAGCCAAATAGAGAACTTACTGCAATATCGTTATCAATTGTCTTTGGGATCCCCACTACTGCTACTTTAAGTCCACGCTTTTCAACTTCCTTGACAAATAATATGCAAATAAGATTTTGTTAGAAATATCAAAAAGCATATTATGAACTTAATGAAATGACTGGATAAACACCTTGTAAATTGCAGCTGCTCCTCTTTGAGTACCATCCCCTCCAATTATGTAAACCTGAAACCAGACGAGACCAAGTGAGGATAAATCACTCCATGTCACTTGAATATATTTATGATGTCAGTAGAAAGGAACTAGATATTCACCTGATTTATGCCACGGTCCTGAATGTTGTCAACTATCTTGTTAGTATCATGACCTCCCCTTGAAGTTTGCAGGAAGGTACCACCGGACTTATGGATAGCATTAACAACTTTTGGTGTCAACTTAATTGTATTTTTAGAGTAAAACCCTCTATAACCTCCCTGAATCATATCAACTTTTCAATTAGTAATCTTTTTTGTTCATGGAAGCCCTGATAAATCTCTGAAATGTAATGGAATAGTTATTATTTTCATTTAGTCCTCATCAAGATGAAGCAGAAAGAAATTATCTAAAGGCAGAACCATTGACATGAAAGATGGCACTAAATATAGCCTTCATCTTTTGTTTCTATAGTGTGCCATATTTAATGCATCAGACATCAATCTTTTAATTTTGAAAATAGAAAGGTTGCATGATTGTGCTAGACAAAAAAAAACACAAAAAAAACTACTGCCTCCTCCCCGCTAAGATTGTCCCATCTTTTCTTTTCGGTCCATCCCACTAAGATTGTCTAGTACCAAATTTGGTGAAGTTTGTATGGTTCTAAATCATTCTTACTTTATTCTTACTTTATCAATTTAATATTAACCACATAAACTCATATTTCTTAATAACCACACCACCAGGGCCGGTCCTGAGAAAATATGGGCCCTGTGCAAAAAACAAATGTGGCATTTTCCTAAAATAACTCTTATTTATAATTTAATAATGCTTATAATATTAAATTAAAAATTAATGTATCACTATCTAAAATAGAATTCATAAATGTAAGATGTGTTTGGAATTGAATGGATAATTTGTCAAAGTAATATTTATATAAAAAATTATAAATATAGTTGATAAATCTAATGAATATTTCATAAATATCTAATTGGTTATTAATTTAATAATGGCATGGAATACAAAAAATAGTCATTACTTTGATTACATATTAATTTCAATAATTGTAGTTGATGGTATTGGGCTTAAAATCTTATGAGTTATATCAATAATTCTTTGGTACAAAAACAAAAATTGAAAGTGTGTTAACATCAACCAATTTGGTTGAGCTGGTTCGCCGCCGGCGTGTGTGAGAAGGTTGGCGAGGGTTCTATTCCCTTGGCTCAAAACTTTTTGATTAAATAGTGGGATTTTACTCATTGGGCTCTAATTAGTTAGAAGGACTACAAAAAAATTGGGTCTTCAGGATTTTCGGGCCCTGTGCGATCGCACATGTGGCACTTGGCCTGGGCCGGCCCTGCACACCACCTTCTCATGTCCCAATGTTAGTGGGACGGAGGTAGTATTACTTTTAATCGAACTTTGCTCAAGTAGTACAAGAAGTCATGCCTCTATGAAACTAACCTGAATTCCAAGTACATCTTCAACTCCATACATATTACTCAAACCGCATACAAGCTCACGTATTACAGTATTGATCCCGGGGCATAAACCCCCACATGTCACAATACAGGCACGCACTTCATCTGGCGTAAAGTAAACCTAAAACCAAACATTCAAATGTTTAAAGACCATCCATTCAAGGCCACTATGATATTCATTCCACTAGTTTATTACGGAGTAACATTTTGGATGGATTCCAGATACTCTGAGGTTAATTCTGCATACCTTTTCTTGAGGCCCTGCACGACGAAAGTGTACTCCCCTAGGACTCTCTTTCTGTACAACAACCTAAGCAAAAAAAACTAAACATCAACCAAGTGACATAAACTCAAATGATCTTATCCAAATAGAGAAAAAATAGACAAGTCTAATGTTATACCTTTTGGGCCACCAGATCTTCAGGGCTGACAAATGTTTTCCTGACATGAATAAGAACTCAAAAAAATAAATCATAAGGGACATTAAAATGAAATAATACACCAAAAACCTCGAGATTTTAATATATAAACAGCTGACATACTTGACAATTGCATATGCTTGGATCTTTCTCAATGGATTTGGATACGACTGAAAACAAATACACAACGCCATTTACCGACTTCAGTCTCCAGATTTTGATACGTAATAGTGTAATACTTTCTAAAACATAATTGACAACAAAATATACTTGTAAACCAGGAAGAAAATTGGTCAAGTGAGGGACGTCTTTGATGATAAAATCTGAAGTTTCTTCTTCGTTAAGACTGACACTACCGTTGGTGGAGGTTTGAGCTTGGATCATGAACAGCGACCGTCGGCGCGAATTGGATTTGTGAATGGAAATTTTGGGGTTTAAGTTGAGAATACTGAAACTATGAACCGGCTTGAAAGTTCTGGGAGTATAGCTGCAAGTATTCGAACTTGCAGAGAAAGATGTTAGGTTAGCGTTGGAACTGAGAACGACTTCCATTTTTTCCTCAAACTAATGTTTGAACTTCGCTTACAGATTTTTACGATCAATAACAACAGTGAGTTTTCCATTCAAAACTATGCGGACATTTTTCTGGGTCTTCGATGGGAAGTATGGTGTACATCGGTACAAAGTCATTTAGGATGTACCACCTCTTCCCATTTACTACCTCCGTCCCTTAAAACTTTTCAAAGTTTGACCGCACTGAGATTAATAAAGTAAAAATTGTGTGGTTGAGTTTTGTTCAAAGGAGAGAGAATTAACTGGAGCCACAAATTCTTTACTTAAAAGGGAAAGTGTCAAAGTTAGTGGGACATCCAAAAAAAGAAAGTTGACAAAGTTTTAAGGGACGGAGGGAGTAAAAGTTATTGTGACAAAATGACAAAATTATTTAAAGAATAATTAAATATGGTAATTGATATGTAAACCGTTAGGAAATTGATGTAACGTACCTCGAAATACAGCAGCGAAAGTCTAAAATTTTCCCAAAAATATCTTTCCTGATTATGACAAAACAACGAATGTTACAATAATAACAGATCTGAGTTAGAATTTACATATCTTCGAGCCTAGTGGTGATAATCCTTGAACTTAAGTATCCACGCGATTTCTCCTTTTCGAAAGAACGGTTAGATCTTCCATATAGAAAAGCTAAGAAATCTCTACGCTTGTAATACTAAATCTAGAAAACTGGTCTATCTATTATGAAGGAAGATGATATACTAAATTGAAGGCAATTTCCAAAAATGTGACTACTTTTAAATATCGACAAAAATGTGAGTAAGAAGGTCATATTTTTGGAATGTCACCGCAACAATTTTATGTCACTGCGATTTTGGTATGTCACTATGAATTGTCACTGTAAGATTTTTATGTCACTTATGTATGTCACTGTCCCGTTAATCATGTCACTGTACTGGTAATCATGTCACTATGCTACCGGAAAAGTTTCCGATAGCGGTTTCCGGTGAAAATATTATGTGTCATCCGCTCAATAAACCGCCGACATGCTGCCGCCGACACCACAACCTACTCCCCCTACCCCATTCCCCATCCCCTACTCCCCCACAGCTCCCCAATTCCCTCCCCGGCCCCTCCCCCACCCACCAGCCCCCTCCCCAGCCCCTCCCCAACCGACCCCCTCCCCAACCAAGGATGAATCCAGGATTTCGAGTCAAGGGGGCGAAATTTTTTCATTTGTGTAGGGGCTGAAATTTTTTCGCTAGTGTAGAAAGGTGAATTGCTTTTTGCTAATGTAGCGGGGCGACATTTTTTCGCAAGTGTAGGGTTCTAGGGTTATTTTTTATTCAAAATTTTTCATTGATACACATACACGGCGACATTTAAATCTATTACATTCTAAGTTTATACTTTATAATACAATGGAAAATTTTCTTTGATTTTACAATTGAAATGATCTAGAAAAAAGTATTGATACATAAAGCGTAAGAAATGGTAAATCAAATGAATTTATTTTAAAATAAAAAGTATATATAAAATTTTAATTATCAAATTATTTGAATACAAAAAGTTTAAAGGATACACATCTACCTATACATTTTGAATAACTTCTGCCTTGTTTAACCACACATGAATCTTATCGCAATAAAGATTTAGTTTTTAGATTGCAATAGTATATGTATGAGATTATTATGTTTAGAATAATATTATATTACTATTCCATATATATGGTGCATATTATACTGTTATTAATGATAAAATAAGTTAAAGTTATTTTATAAAGTGAAAAATAAATGAATTGTGTAATATAATGTGAACAAACATTTATATTTTGGATTCAGTTCACATTATCTAAAAACTCTTTAACTAGTGTGTCTGGTATTTAATTTCATTTAATATTTTCCAAAATCGAGTACTAAATATTTAATAAAGATAATTAAATATTACAAGGAATTTTTATATAATAAGTATCCTAAGTCTTAAACTGTGAGTTGTTCCAATGTTTATGTGTTTAAGTTATGTGAATTATTTAGATTTTCTTCTTTAAAATCTCCAAGTAAGTGCGCCCCCCCCCCCCCCCCCCCCCCCCCCCAAATCCATCCTTGGTCCCCAACGAACCAGCCCCCTCCCAACGCTCTCACTAGCCCACCAGCCCCCTCCCTTCCCCAACCCACCTGACCCCCTCCCCAACGAACCAGTCCCCTCCCAACCCCCTCCCAAGCCCACCAGCCCCCTCTCCAACCCTCCCAACCTTGCCCCATCCCAATCAGCCCTGCCCCACACCACCTGACCTGCCCCGAGCCCATAGCCACCAGCCCCTTCACAATTGGTACCTAACACCACACCCCGCGGCCCTTCAACCAGCGCAGCCCACCATTTCATTCGCTCAACCCCCAATCCCTGCCGCCAAGCCGTCGCACCAGTCCGCCGCCTCAGAAACCCAAGCCACCGACCTTGTAGCTAAACCCTAGCCGCAGGACAGTCGATGATGGTCACAGATCTGAAGGTGGTCGCAGATCTGAAGGTCGTCGCCTAATAGAGATTTGTTTATCTCCACCGATCTCGTCCATATTAAGTTGAAGAAGAAGAGTGCAGACCTCGATGAAGACAACGACGGCGGTAGGGATTTACAGCGACGAAGATAGCGGTGAGCCTGACAGCAACGAAGGCAGCATTGGCGGTGAGGAGGCTGGCGGCGACGAAGGAAACGTTGGCGGCGAGGAGGCTGGCTGCGACGAGATTGGAGCCGGTGATCATCTCCTTCACTGCCATCGTTGATTTCTGGGATTGACATGGTAGAAGAGAGAAGCTCTATTATGTCCGCAGGAAGGAGACGGAAAGACAAGCGGCGCAAGGGTTGCGCATGTGTTTGAGCGCAAATGAGCATAAGAAAAAGATCTGGGCTTGAGCGTCGATCTGCTACGGAAGAAGAGATTTAATTGTTTGGTCACTTTTTTGTCAACCCCAATTTTAGTCATATTTTTGTCTATCATAACTCCACAAGTAATATTCATGTCATTGTTTCTATATTTATACTAGTTCTAAATTAGTTTTCTCAATCACAATGAAAGTCATCATCATTAATGAGTTCTAATCCTATGAGTACCAATACACCTTATTAATGATTTAATTAATTAAATAAATAAACATAACTAACAACAAGGGTAAAGTGGGTTGCATGCCACTTTCAGTCTTTATTGTTGTTTCTTTTATTGTTCTCTTCTTCTTAATTCCAAATTATAAAGAAAAGTACCAATTTTATTTAATTAAAAATACATCTTAATTAAGTATAATAAATCTAATTTATCACACTTAATTAATTCTATCAAATAGAATTCTTCTTCAACATCATGAATTAAATATATTTGATCTAATTAATATTTAATCCATTTCCTGTATTACGAATTAAATATTATTTAATCAAATTAATATTTAATTCCTTCTAACAATTCAATCGAAAGGTATAATCACTTGTTGTGTGACTCATAGGGCATTATATATTAAGCACTAATCAAATTAAGATCTTAGTGAATCCCTAGATGATTTTCCAGACAAACTTAATATATAAGGACATTTGCAAGGACTATTCAAACTTCCTGTAATATAGAGCTCATAATGAGACGGTCCTTTTATCCAACGAACATTCAACTAAGTCTATAAATTGATATCGTGTCTATTCCAATAACTTAGTCTCTATCTCTTGATCTTTCTAGATGATCCATAACGATCATATTCGATATCTAAAACGAATATATCTTTGCATTAGCCAATGACTATGATCCATTTAAATATGAGAAGTAGAATGTTCTCTCTTAATATATTACTAGGAATGAATCCTTTCTTGGCTCAACTACTACTCCATGTGCTTCGTGATGCACTCAACACATGTTGTATCTACCCCGATTGGAGTGCAAGCGTTGGTCATGATCAAAGTACATCACTCCGCACATGTAGTACGTATTGACCTCATGTCAATATTTTCTAAAATATCTATGTGACCGTCATGAATTACAAGAACTCATAGTTTTGAGATCAACTATACTTTCTAAAAGTATGATGCGATCCACATACCAAACTTATCACATATCATCAATATCTCTTTCTTGATGATCATTGATTGGGGTTATTTTAGGACTTTGTGTTATATCACATAAGCTCTCACTTAGTGACAACATAAGTCCAAAGGAACATAATTATGAATAAAGCATTGACAATCTAAATGTTTAATCATCAATGTGTAATACCGTATATTTCAAATATATAAAACTGAATGTGATCAAATACATATCTCTAAAAAATGATTGTCACTAAGACATACGGAGTATATACTAACATAAACTACCTCAGGCATTATCCTAATTGCGCGTCAACTAGTATTATTACGAAGTATATTAGTGTATCGTGCTAAGTATTAAATACACCGTAATAAATATTATTATATTAGTATATAGTTTGACATGGTTAACAATGAAGTGATTGAAACCTAGACATTAGTAAAATAAGTAAAATGATTTGAACCACATATTTTTATGAAAATAGAAACCTAGACAATTATTTTAAGACAATTTAAAAAACAATAGGACAATCAAAATGAGAGGAAGAACTTGTAGAGCTTCTGGACCGGCTCAAATCTCAATTACCATAGCCCAAGGGCTAGCTCACCATTCACCACCAAGGAGTCAACAAGGGAAACCGAAAGGGCAACAGTCTCTACCCTCAGTTTTGGAGCCCAAAACCCTCCAGACCAAACACCTAGGAAAAACCCACCGGAGAAGAACCCCCCACAAATACCAGCACAGAGTGAAGCCCACAGAAGGATTCCCGAAGTCTCACCGCAGGATAGCCTGATCTAAGCCAACAGTGAAATCGGCACTCTCTCACTCTAGAACTAGGGTAACTGTCTAAGCTTCTCATCGGATAGAGAGAGAGAAGGGTCGAACAAATAGGAGATTCCAGAAGGAATCGGACAATATAAGAGAAGGGCCACAACAGTCATGGGCTTGGTGAAGACAAAGAGGAGGAGTATGGGCTTCGTCGAGTAGGCAACAGAATTGGGCCAAGCACATTAATTAGGTGACCAAGGTATTAATGGGGCGGGCCAAGTACAACCAGAGGTGGACCAATACCAACTTACAATCTCCACCTTATTGGTCCC